CCCCAAAACCCCAAAACCCCAAAACCCCAAAACCCCTTTAGTTTAATTCGTTGTTGAAATAATTTGTGTGAGTAAAATGTCATAAAAATTTGCACCCGAACTCGTTTGTTATATCATAGGATGCTTACTGAAAATTGAGACTTGAGATAAAGCTAAGTTATGCCTTCATTGCTAACACAGCATGATAATTATGACTAAGTACAAATTCTGGAGGGATGACTTTCATTTTGGTACAAACCATAAGATGTAAAGATTGCGTGGAGTGATCTAAATTGTGGATTCTGTTAACCCAAAATAAGATAATTGCCCTAATTATCCGAAGAATTAGCTTACTATCAAATGGTGTTCCAGAGTGCTAGGCTGATATTCTGAGCCAAACAGAACTAATGAGTTACCGAAAGTCTAGCTCTTACAAACAGATTTAGTCATTTACTGTCACTAGAGTAACTTAAATTTACTTTAAAATTTCATTTAGTTATGTGAAATAGTGATAATTTACTGAATCTCTCACACAAAATCACTGTTGAGCAGACTCCAAAATACCAAGAAAGTAACTATACTGTCATTCTCGCCACTATGAGGTATTACCTGGAAGATATTCCCAGTACAATGTCAGGCTATTTTAGACCACTCTTTATGATGCATACTCTTTTAGAGCTTAGGAGTCAAGCCAAATCCCAGACATTCTCATGGAGCCCGGTTGATTCAAATTTGCATTTAAAGCTGTAGATAATGAAGCAGAACTAGTTGTGGGTGCATAAATGTCAGGAATGTGATATTTCATTCCTTTGCTGCTTAAATTAGCACAGAGTTATTAAAATCTGAAGAAGTCAGAATCCAACTTTGGTGAGATAATTTGTATTTATGAATGAATTATTAAAGCAGAGATTTCTCTATAATGGCATTTTTCAGATAAGTTTTGAAGTGGAGAGAAGAGGATCAGGACAATCAAAAATGACTGCTTTTGAATGAGATTTAGTGAAACCCAGCAAAGCTAAGCCTTAAAGCACAGCCCTAAAGCTTGGCTTAAACAAGTTAGGCACGTATTCTGAATTTTTAAACCAATATAGTGCATAAGAGTTTGAGCATGATTCATAAATCTCCTTACTTGCTTCATAAGGAGCTGAAGTAGGCCCAGCATGGGCTGGGTAGGCCAATCTTTGGGGTTTTGGGGTTTTGGGGTTTTGGGGTTTTGGGG